AGGCCATGGCAGTAAAAGACTGTATTATTACTATAATTAATATCACGATTCTGTGCTAATATTAATAATCCAGGCTTGTATTGCAATAAGGACAGCAGTTCATCCATAAGCAACTAATGAAATTTCCATCCAAAGGTAATATGCAAAACAAGCTTAATACTTTCAATATATACTGTGCAAGACCAGACTTGTACTTCTATTCTAAGGCTTCTAACTACTGCTGCAACTTCCAGTGTACATGGAGATCAAACCGTTTTGTATACTGTTTCCCCCTTCCAAGCTATTTTTATTTCCTAGTCGAAGCACAAAAATGGTCCATTTTACAAAACCACGAGGATATAATCACTTAAGCACTTCCATACTTAACCTTAAGCATTAAATCTTTATTTATCTGCAAATCTACTGTACGTGTGACGTCTCTTTATACATTTCTGGAGCCATATATTCCCTGTTTTTACCTTTCAACAGTAATATGTAATACAAACAAACCAGTAATGCTTTTTTTTAAATATGTCAGCTCAGCGGTCATACTTTCCACTATTTTTTAGATGGAGCAGCAGATTGAAAAACAACAAAGAAATCCACAGCTTGAATGTCAAAACTGGGTAGAAATTGGAACACCATACTGATTCCTTTTGCTTCCATGGCTCTGATCACTAGGTGGGCAGCAAACTCAGTCAGTGCAGTAACACACTTATAATGAAGGCTCCTAGGGCCGCATAGGGGAAGGGAGCCTTGACTGCAGGGAGCATGGCTCAGTGTATGGGCGTGATCATAAGTTATGAATTTGAACGGTCTACGACGATTGACTGTTTGGGCAGGGAGTGAGGGAGCAGGGCCTGAACTCCATAAAAGATCTACTCTGGTGTTAAATTCTCACTCACTGGCCGCCATTAGCTTCAACTGCATTTCCTACCCAATGCTATGTGGCACAGCACACAATTCTAGTCACAACACACCACAGATCAATGATGATGGGAGAAGAAATTCCAGCAACATGAATTAATCCAATATTCTAACACTACTTAGGGAGGACAGGGTGCCAGCTAATCAGTTATTAATAGGTAATTATAACAGCATAACAAATAATTAAAGAGAAATTGTAACTCCAAATCTAAAGCTTACTACACATGTTACAATATAGTTTGCCATTCTACTTTAGAACTACCAACAACTGTTCAGTACAAGACACTGCCTAACTTAATGCAAATTGAGGTAATTCAGCATATTACAGAGTTTTTGAAAATATGAAGTTTATTGTACAAAGCTTGGTCAGATTGTCATGTTTGTGAAGAACCTATGCTTACTTTAAAATTCTCAATGGAATGATAGTACTTACAGTTTTTTAATTCCTTTTTTTTAACACAAACCTGTAGAATGTACTTCATCAAAGTGTTTCCCTACTGATGTGCATGTGCTCAGTGCTTATATACTTGTCTTATTTGAGATATTGAATTTAGAAATTGTGAATGCTGGTGTAGTGCTTTCTCCCATAGGAGGTGTAAACTTGCCCAGGTTCTTCCCCAGTGGATTGCCCCTCCAGGCACACAAACACAGTCTAGGGGTGTTGTTTTTGTTGTTATTTTTGGAGAACTTGGATAGGGCTGCGGGGATTGGGTGGAGTACTCCAAAAACAAAAACTATGTACAAGCTGAGGACAGTGATCTCCTTTCTATAAACCTGAAGCAGAAGTCCTTGCATATAGCAAACTGTGAACTTGGCTTGTAGTAGAAAAACAGTTAAAAATTCAGAGCTGAAGCAAAAGTCTTCGCATATAGCAAACTGCGGACTTGGATTTGTAATAGAAGTAGTAAATGCACACAAGCTTTTTCCTTTGGAGCAGGGGTCTCCAAACTATGGCCCTCAAGGTGTTGAGGAACTGCAAGTCCCATGAAGCCTTGCAAGACTGACAGCCACAGGCAAGACTCCCAGAGGAAGAGGCATGATGGGATTTGTAGTACTTCAACAGCTGAAGAGCCATAGTTTGGAGACCCCTGCTTTGGAGGAATAAGTGCAGAGTCCCTACACAAAGAACGAGATAGACTGAGCTCTTCAGAACACCAGCCGATGTTCACTTTAGCAAAGACACCCAGCTGACTCTCTAGCACAAGAGGTGTGGCAGAAGCCCAAAAGTGCCTAAGATTTCTTACAACAGTCTGTACTCACAAATGTCCAGGTAAAGTTGGTTAACCTTCTTCCAACATCCATGCACCACCTTTCTACTGTGATCCCAGACTAGATCTTCAACATACAACCCCTCAGCCAGCTTTCTGTAGCTTCAGTATCCAGGCAAACACATGGCAGCGTTGTCCTTGAGGGCAGCAGCCCTCCAGGCTGGACTGATCCTCAACAGGAAGAGACTCAGAAGCCCAGTCTTTCAGAGTATTTATGCAGTTACCCAGAAGTCTTCAGGGCCCTGCTCCCTGGGATTGGCCAGTGCTGCATAAATAATCATACTGCCATCTGCATAGCTCCACACCTATGTTGGAGAGAATTCTACTACTCTCTGGAAGCAAAGGGAGCAATCACACTAGCAGCAGCTGAGAACATTGAACTGATCTAATTAATCAGCTGCACTGGATACAGTGAACACAGTTAGATTTGTTTAACACACTAATTAGAGTCACACTGGTTTCAGTGAGGCAAGCTAAATTTATCTAACCAAAAACACACACAAAGCTCCAATGAGCCAGCACTAAACCTAACTAATCCTAGCACCTATCTAGGAGGGTGCTACACTGGGTGACCTTCTCAGTTATTCACCACATGCTGTCATGGGGGTTTTAACCTTACCCATTTGTAGAGTACGGATTAAAGACAGGCAACTTGACCATAAGTGGAATTTTGTGTGGAAAGAGGAATCCAATGTGGAAGAGGTTCCTGGGAAAAGGGGAAGAACTTGGGAAAGTGCAGTGTGTAGATAAAAAACTGCTTAGGGAAGAATAATTTGATAGTTAGCCAGTTTGTACACGAACCCTTTTTGTACAGGGCTGGATTTACACTTTTCCCTCCCCAGACCAGCTACCTTGTGGGCACTCTGCTGCAACAAGTTCTTTGGAGCCCCCCCATCAACATACACAATCAAACACACACCACTATTCCACAGGAAAAAAAGAGAGTCATAAACACAGTGAACTAAACATGAATTAACTGTTTTCAAAAAAAGAATTGCCCAAATGACAAATAATAGACAATAAAGCCTTAAAAATGAAAAGCAAAAAAAACACAGACACAATCAGAAATGTGTCTGCAAAGACACAGTCATTACCATACTGTCAGAAAGAGAAATCTTTGCAGAGACACAATCAGTACTGTTTTAACAGAATAAGAAACATGTCCACAGTGACACAATCAGAACCATCCTGACATGACCAGGAACATGTCTTCTTGAGACTAAGTACATAGGGCCTTGTTCGTGATCTCTAAAAAGACCTCTAAGGCTCTTACAGCAAAACTAAAGAATCAATTTCAAAATTTGCGAGCAGGCTCCTTATTGCAGAAGAGATACGCAATAAAACAAACCTACCTATAATTATTATACATTCCAATTAGTGCCAACCAATGAACAAGGATGTAGTCTGGACCCCAGAAGAAGCCAGTTAAAAGATGCCAGTTCTGGCACACAGGGACCAAAGACTGTTGAAGGAGAGGTACGTTTTGCGGACTTTAGTTGCACTTCAATATTCATCTGTCCTACTGCCCAGACTGCTGAACTTTGCAGTCTTCTAAATCTGATCTTTCAGGAAGCTCGCATTCATATGTCATTCTCTGTGCTCTGTAGTTCTGTACACTGACTTTCAAGTTACTAAAGGACATGGTAGTAACATAGGGGCTTTCAGAAGGAAACACAGCTCAGATGGGGGGCATAGGCTTTGGCCACTCCCTGAAATGTTTCAGATTTAGAAGATTCTACATCCAGCAGCAGTATCTCTTGAATACAGTGGTGTTCCTGTGTCAAATTAGTTCTGCTCCAGTTTAGTTCTGGGTGGGTAGGGATGGGGCTAGCTGGTGCCATGACAGCTAATGCTCAAAATGTCAGTAGATAGTAAGGGGTGGTTTAGAAGGGCATTAGTAAAATAGTATAGAAGGTTGGACAGGGCAGCATAATCCAAGCATTTTCAGGGGCATTAGGTGCCACCCCCCAGTGGTGTCAAGACACAAAGGCTGGCCGCACAAGCAATGATGTAGCAGATAAAATCCTTTATTGGAATCCTTCACAATGTGGTAAGAACATCACAGCTTCACAATGGACAGAGAAATAGTAGATACGTTTCAAACACGTGCTTAGTCATAGTGTAATGACTAAGCACGTGTTCTGTGAAACGTGTCTACTATTTCTCTGTCCAATGTTGGAGCTGTGATGTTCTTACCACATTGTTTGTGAAGGATTCCAATAGAGAATTTTTTTTCTTCTACATCGTTGCTTGTGTGGCCAACCTTTGTGTCTTGACATTGTACCTGCGATCACGGATCGGACCAGTACCGACGTGTATGTGTAGGGGCCATACATCCACGATACTCACCTGGAGCGGTTCACTTGTCTCCTTGGCCACCCCCAGCGGCCATGGAACCCTGCACCTATTTAAAGTGATTGTAAAATCACAACACCGAGCAGGTAAGCATGAAATGTTTTTATTTAAAAAAAACAAATGCTTACTGCTGTGATGTTTTTGCACAATCACTTTGAATAGGTGCAGGTCAGGTCCTCTGCCATGCTCTCTGGGGGTGGCCCCACCGAGTGCCCCCAAAGCAAGCCACTCTCTATGGAGGCATTTGTGCATTGACACACAGAGCCAGCTCGGCCCTGCCCCCCTCTCCTCACTGGCTGTAAATTACAGCAGCAGAGACAATGGCTCCCACTGCTGCCTCTCTGTCCACTGAGGGGAGAGAGAGCCAAGAGAGCCTCTGCTCTCGTGCACATCGCTGAATCGAGATTGTAAGGGGCAGGAGGGGAAGCTGCATGCAAAAGGTTTTTTACGTTAAAGTGTTACAAAACCCAGGACCCTGCATTCACTCTCTCTGGTCTCCCACAGTACATACACCATGGAAATGCAATTATTTTAGTAAATATAAATTGATAAATACCTCATCAGCAGTTAGAGCAGTCTTGTGACTTCTATCACTGTCCAACCGAGTACATGTTAAAGCTTGTAGCATGAGTTTTCATTCTCCTCTAGGAGGATGCAGAACCCCTGACCTTTGTCAGGACAGTGCTGATTGGCCCTGAGCTGATCACATGCACTCTCCCAAGAAAAAAAACCTCTCTAGCAATACACATCAAACTGAGCAAGTGCAGAGTGACTCCACACAATGTCTTATCCAGAGATAAGAGGGGGACACTGGCAGAAGGGGAGAATCAGAGAAGTCAGGATCAAACAGCATGTTTACACAATCCAGAGGATTAACCCCTTAGGTTCCACAGTGAGTATAACAAGCATGCTTTACTGCATATACAGGTTGATTTTACTGTTGTGGGTTTAGTAACACTTTAATGCAGAGAATGCATTAAGGTAAAAAACCTTCTGCCTTTAGACCGCTTTAATGCAGAAAATAAAAACGTATGTCAAGGCAAAAAAAGTATTTGTTCAGTACATCTCTGAAATACTGTAAATGCACATTCCCCATGTATTATCCCCTTAAACCCACTGCAAGTACAGAAAAATAATTGTTGATGTGTCAGAAATATCCTATCTTCATGTTTCAAATGACAACAGGGCTCTGAATTCCTAAGCACACAGTGACAGTCCTGCCTACTTCATTTCTAATGGAGAACATAGACCTCTACTAACCTCTTTCTCCCTTCTTCACCTTCTTGTGCCCTGGCAGAAACCACAGGAAGTTATCAGATTTAAATACTCTGCCTAAAGTAAAACTATAGGCAAAACTTTTTTTTTTTCATTTTGGATAGAGCAAGTGAAGGTTATAACCCCTGTCAGATTAGTTTTTTTTCGCCATCTGAGTCCTGGAGATTTTGCTTCCTTTCTGTCCCATAGCCAAAAAGAGGATGAGAGGAAATCCCTTCCAATTACGGGAATGCCTTGGGTAGCCCCATGCCACCAGAACAAATATCCTCACTGGAGGATTTCCCCTCTATTACTTTTCTGGGGACAGCCCAAAATGTGGGATTTTCGTTTACTTTCACTTTCAATGCTAATGGTAAACAGGACAAATGGAGAGGGTGAATCTCCTTAATGGGGCACAAACAGCAATAAAAACTGACAAGTGTTCTAATTCCTCTCCATTCTATCCAACATTTAAAAAAAAAAGTTTTGTCTTTAGTTATATTTTAAGAATTAAATTTACCGCTGAGATGCTCACTCCAGAACAAGGCTGTCATGTAATCAGTTTAGATGATGGCCTAATTTTGGAGTGGACCTTGTTCCTGCCTGCTTTCGTTAGCAGGGCTCTTCAGTAATAAATGCAATCCTTTATCAGGATATTTATATTGCATTCTGTACCACATCCTTTCACTCTGATGATGGGGCAACATGTCATTGGAGGTACTGTCCTGTAAGACTGCACTCTTGATCCCCACATAGTTACATAATTGGAAAGGCTGGATAAAGACAACAGTTCATCCAGTTCAACATGTGTGTATTCATGTCTCTACCATTTCCCATGTCACTGTATATTGCATTTGCTAAGATGTCCATCTAAGAGGTTTTTTAATTGACACTCATCACTGACACCACCAATTGTGGAAGCTTGATCCATGTCCTTACTGCTTTAGCAGTAAAGATCCCCATGCGTAGTGTAAAGCTAATCTGCTTCTCGTCCAACTTAACTGAGTGGCCAAGTGTCTTCTCAGGTGGTGATCTGAGACTGAATAGTTTTTTCCCATGCTAGAATCACCATTTAGATATTTATATATTGCAATCATATCTCCTCTTAGGCATCTCTTCTCCAGGGAGAATAAGTTTAATATTTGTAGTTGTTCCTCATAAACTGAGGTCCTCCAGTCTCCTTATCAGCTTTTTTGCCCTTCTCTGGACATAGTGGGGTTTATTTACTGAAGCTGGATCACTTAGAATCTTGTGAACCTGTGTATGGTAGCCAATTAGCTTCTAACCTCAGCTTGTTTAGCAATAAAACCTGGAAGCTGATTGGTTTCTATGCAGAAGTGCACAATAATCTGAGTGAACCAGCTTTAGTAAATAAACCCCAGTGTATTCACTTCTTGAAGAGTTGCAGAGCATTTTCCCTGGGTTGATTCAGTGTCCTGTACCTTCCTGGCTTCTAACTTACCTTTTGTTGGCATTTCAGTAAGAGTTAGCTGGCACCTGTGGCCAGACTAAATTAATATTGTGGCCAATGGAATGAATGAATGCCCAAGTGCTTGACGCACCTAAACACGTTTGCAAAACACGACTTTAGGCACATTTTTATCACTGCTTTTTCCTCCCCTGGAGAATAGACATCCAGAGGACTGTCTTGTCTTGTCTACATCACTGAGATATCAGCAGCTGAATTACAAGGCCAATATGCCATCAGATCCTGTACTAAACTGGTGACATTTCATTTATTTGCCTTGGAATTAGTGCAGTAGGAGCTCTCTTTGTTGTTGTGAAGCTAGCGCCGCAGCACAAAACTATAACTATAAGTGAATAGATGATTTACTCTTAGTGTAACAGCTTGATAGACTTGTAGGTTTTAGTTCACTACATACTGTATGTCACTCATAAAAGATTAAAAAATTAAATAATACCGGCCCATTTCTCTAGTTTGTGCCTAAAGTGCAGAAAAACGTGAGTATTTTACATCCCAAATCTAAACTCTTACACCTTGGCGGAGTTGCATGAACACCGTCACTTTTTTCCCCAAGTGTAGCGCCATTAAATGACTTCTATTGGTAGGTCACTCAGTAGAAGTGACCCCTTTGTACTGAGGGTAGGACACTGCTTCTGTGTGTCTGTGTCTCAGTTTTATGGGAGGCAGCGTGAAACAAAACCTATTTTCAGATAAAAAGAGACCTTGAAGCTAAATATCATCAGACAAAGGGATGAGGCAGGATCTGTTGCTGCCATATTATAATCGCAATCCTTTCAAAAGCAAATGCTTTTGTCTGAAAACAGAGAGAGAACAGAAAACCCATGGGAACTCCTCTTTGGCTGGATAATTTTACTATTTCTTTTTGTTGGGCATTTACTGTTGAAATGGCAGTGTATAAAGGCCTTACAAAATTAAAACTGAATACACGTTTACACTGTCATCTTGTACTGTTTCCGTTGCATTTCACACTGTGATTTTTAATTATTTGTTTTGCTTCTGTTGTAAAGTTTGTTAAAAGTCAAGTCCTCCTAAACTGATAACTCAGGGTTTGCATCATGCCATAAGGTTGAATTACCTGCCAGCTCCTGATATGTCTTTAGGTTGAATTACCCACCAGCTACTTTTATCTCCATTTAAAGCTTCATCCGCTATTCAGCCTCAATAATCCTTACTGGATTCTTAGTAATGTAAATGTAATGCATTAATGGATATTCTAGATTGAAGAGCATGACACACTTGATCTTCTTTATTGGGGGCAGAGACGATAAAAAAGCAGGTTCTTTTGCCATCCGAGTCCCTTTGCAATGCGAGAACCTGTTAGTTAATTGAATCCAAGAGCATTACAAAAACTGACATTTCCATTTTGGATAGTCTTGATCACAAATACACAGATGAAAATAATGTACAATATATGCCACCAGGGCCTAACTGCTATCACTGAAGCCTGTAGGCAGACAGCCAGCCATTTTTGCAATACCTCCAGTTTACTGGCCCTAACCTAAGTTATATGCAGCCTATAAGCACAGGTCTACTGTAGGGATGAGCAAATATGTCCAAGTTTGGTTACTGTCAGGACCTGAATCATCTGCTGGTAGCACTGTGGTTCCCAGAATGGAAGGGTATAGTTCTGGTGGCCACCAATAGGTGTCTCCCAGTAGCCAGCTGATCCCAGTAATCAGTCTCCAACTGATGCTGGCTGCTGGAAGGGTATATAACCCTTTCCCTAACTTCCTTCACTGGCTTAGTGTTTTGCCTGTGTGATGTCTACCTGGTTATTGATGCATTGCTGCTGACTGTGGTCCTGATTTCTTCTGTGATTCTGTTCCAGTACTTGCATTATGTGCACTGCTACTTCATATCTGCTTCTCTTGTTCGCAAACCCAGTTCTAGCCTCCTTCTCTATCTATCTACTTGCAGCTCCTATCATACCCTGTTTATCCATGTTCCTAATTTTGTATATATTGTATTATAGTTTTGTTGCTAGTGAGGTGTATTGTCACTTGGTTTATGGTTCATGTATTGTATATCTTCACTTTAGCTGTGTATTTTTTTATCTTACTTTAATCATACATACTGTAGTCTGGTTTCAGTTGCCTAAGTACGGGTACACTGAACTGGTCACCCCTGCTGCCACTGGATACCTGCGCAAACCTGCATTTGTGGGTGGGATGTTTGTTAAACCCTGCTTGAAATTTGTGAAACCTGAATGTAGTAGAGAACCCAATTGAAATATATGGGGGCAAATAATAATATTTCGCCATTATCAAGGCTACTAAGCAGAGTGTTGTCAAAAATAGGCACTCAATGCTTTTTGGTATGGCATTAACAAGTTGCGTGGGGGTGCCATTAAGAATGAATGGAACCCCTACATGCCTACAAAAGGGCTGTACATTTTTGTGAGCAGAACATGATGTTGCGTGAGTTTTCACAACACACAAATGTGAACCTAGCCTTAACAAAAAGAATAAAAATATCATATAAAAGAGGAAGGTCCTTTCAATATGACTTCAAGACTGACATTGAAAAATAAAATGAATCCTTTAAATTGCATGCTTAGTGGATGCCTTTAAGTTGTATGTGCTGTTATGGAACAGTACAGTTGTGGACGTTAAATTGATTTTTTTTACTTTTACATTTAGCTTGGCTTAAATACAGCAGCAGCACCCCATTCAACTCAATTTAACTAAAAAAAAAATACTTTTTAGGTAGTTTTGGCTGTTACAGCTGATTTTCTGCAGTAATGGGCCTCAAGAGTTCTAAAACCTATTGGAAACTTTACGCTCAAAAATATAAAGCTAAAGCCCCCACCTTCGTATAGCTGGCCATTAGCACAACAGTTTAATAGTATAGTTTCTTTTTTTCTTTTTAAGAGAAACATACTGAATTGTCTTAAAAGTTTAATATAGTC